GGGGCATGGAGAACGGGCACAGCTTGCCGGCGGCCGAGGTGCTGCAGCGCTTCGGGGTGCGGGAGAGCTGCGGGCTGAGCCCCGAGCAGGTCCGCCGGAGCCGGGAGAAGTACGGGCCCAATGGTTAGTCTGCTCCGCTCGCGGCGCCCCGGGGCGGGGGGGAGGGAGAATAGAAGGTCTGGGGCTGTCTGAGGGGGGACACGGAGCAGAAGGGGATTATCTCTGGGGGAGGTAGAGGGGTTGGGGACATATGTGGGGGTAGGGCGAAGTAGAGGTTGGGGATGCCTGTGGGGTATAGGGGCAAGAGGAGGGCATGGCCGTGGGGTGCCTGTGGGTATGGGGATGACATGTCTGGGGGGAAGGCTTATTAGAGGTGGCAGAGGTGCTCTGACCTGTGTTTAGGACAATGAGCAGCATTATCTCTGGGGGAGGTAGAGGGGTTGGGGACATATGTGGGGGTAGGGCGAAGTAGAGGTTGGGGATGCCTGTGGGGTATAGGGGCAAGAGGAGGGCATGGCCGTGGGGTGCCTGTGGGTATGGGGATGACATGTCTGGGGGGAAGGCTTATTAGAGGTGGCAGAGGTGCTCTGACCTGTGTTTAGGACAATGAGCAGCAGGGTGCGGGCTACAGGTTAAGAGCAAGCTTGAAATACTAAACATTAAAATAAATGTATTAGAGCTGTTGATTAATCATAGTTAACGCATGTCATCCATTTCTAGACAAACAGAGGCTAGGGACACCATTGCTACCCATCCTGGCTAATAGCTTTTATCTAGCTTCTTCTTTTTTTTTTTTTAGAACCATGTTAAAGTCCTGGTATTCACAAAGTCATCTGGAGGTCCAAACGGTACATAATTGTACATTTGGAGTTTAAATTTCATGATAAAAAAGTGTACTACAGTACAGGCAGTCCCTGGGTTACATCAATTCGACTTACGTCGGCTCCCTAGTTACAAACGGGGGGGGGGGGGGGGGGGGGGGTAGGTGAAGGGAGAAGGATGAAAGGATATGGGAGTGTTATCTTTGTCTTGGAGAGAAGTTTATGGTGACCTGGGGTAGTTTATATTGGCGAGCCAGCTGTGTGATTAGCTAATGGGTTGAGGTTAGGGTTAAGGCATGAGCAGGTTACCAGTGTGATTGGATTAGGATGGGAGACTCCATAGATTAGGTAGGCTGGGAATTGGGTATTTACTAAACACTGGAGAGATCGTTTTGGCTTTGTAGAAATATCTGTGGAAACGGCAATAAAATGACCACAGTCAATCTGGAATAAGGACTGGGAAAACAGGCCAATGTGGGGCGGAGGAGAGGGGTTTGCTTGGGACATGGGGAAGGATTGGTGGCTCTATTGAGCAGTAGGGCAGGCAGAGTGTAATCCACCCAAATCAGTATTTGTTTGATGTAGGAGACTACCAAGAAAACCTGCTTCACTTTAAACAACATTTGCATGTGCCACTTTTTGCATAGCTCTTGGTGAAGTTGCAGTGGATGAAGGAGAGAGTTTGGTGGGGATATGGAAAGTGGGATGTGGATGGGTTATACTGTAACCAGACTGAGTCTGAGAAACTATTATTAAACATCTAAGACATTTCTATAAAAAAAATTGAAAAACAACTCAGAAAAACTATTAATGAATGCAGATAAATCTGGGAGTTCTGCTCTGATAGCTTCACACCTTGGGAAGACCGCTCTTGATGCTTTTGGAATTGATTTGGGCTTGGGAGGAAGAGTGGTGCTAGTGTAAGTTGATGTAGGTCCACTGTCTGATAGATCCTGTGCCATGTAGTAGAAGAAATTTGTCCACATCTATCCTTATGTAATGTTATTGATATCAGTGGAGTTACACTGGGAGTGATTTTGCCTGCCAATTTTATGGGCCTTATTCTAGTTTCTTCAAAACATCAGGAGTTCAAGATCTCCAGTCGATGTGAATTTGTGCTTGTTGCTTTATGTTCTAGTCAAGCGTGCTGGAACAATTTTTGTAGAGTGAATGCTGCTGATGGAAACCAGATATTCGGTGGTGTTACTGTTTCAAACCAGGAGGTGCAGTAGCCATTGGTGGTAGGCACTGGCCTACATCCACTGCCATTGGTTCTGATAAATTCCGGTAGGTGTTGCCCATTGTATCTTTATTCACATCTACACTTCCAGGAAGACTGATTCTCTGTCGGGCGATCTTCAGGTGTTTGATTTAGCAGGTCTGGTAGCTGGCACTCTGTATCTTGCATCAGTTTTTTTCTGATGGTGTAGACCTGGCCTCTGTCTTTGTATTGTGGAAAGAATGGTTGGGGGAAACCGTGCCATGTATATAAAGGGGTCTTATCATTGACTTCAGGAGCATCCTTGGGCGTGATGTGCTCTTTGTCCAGCGACAAATAAGGAACTCCAGTGGCTCGCTACCTAGATACTGTGTTTTCCCATCTTCTCTGAAACTCCTCTTATCTCTGAAAATCTGACCAGTAACTGGAAATAATTGCCACTTACCATATATTGTTCCACCGTTCTGTTTATTCATGGGGGTACACATGTATCTATTGAAATTGCCTTATTGAAATCTAAATGAAATTAATGGGTAGCAGGCTTAAAACTAATAAAAGAAAGTTCTTCTTCACACAGCGTGTAGTCAACCTGTGGAACTCCTTGCCAGAGGAGGCTGTGAATGCTAGGACTATAATAGAGTTTAAAGAGAAGCTAGATAATTTCATGGAGGTTAGGTCCATAAAAGGCTATTAGCCAGGGGATAAAATGGTGTCCTTGGCCTCTGTTTGTCAGAGGCTGGAGAGGGATGGCAGGAGACAAATCGCTTGATCATTGTCTTCGGTCCACCCTCTCTGGGGCACCTGGTGCTGGCCACTGTCAGCAGACAGAATACTGGGCTAGAAGGACCTTTGGTCTGACCCAGTACGGCCGTTCTTATGTTCTTCAGTACTGAGTGGAAAGACACACGCTGGGTTCCATGACAGTTTTGCCCTCTTGCTCTACATGAGCCAAGGATGGGGATCCAAGCCGGAGTCATCCGGTTAAGCTGCACCACCTCGGGTAGGGGGAGGGGCAAAATGGCCCAAGGGCTTCAGCCCTGACCAGGGGGCATGTAACTTGAGCCCCGATGCCCTGGACAGTGGCGTTTGGGCTTTGGCCTTAAACTCCAGCAAGCTGCACACCAGCCTTGGCTCCCCATTTAAATGGGGTTGTGGTCCACTTTGGGGTCCCAATGCACAGTTTGAGAACCCGTGTACTGGAGCAGTGCAGGTGCCCCGGGGGTGATGTACTTCCAAAAGCAAAAGAGGCGGATGTAGTACAAGATTTATAAGCTAAGAGAACAGGCGAGTAGTCAGGCAGGGCTAGATTGTTAATTGTGTCAAGCAATAGCTATGTACTATTGCCCTTTGGATAGACGACCCTATACTCCCTGTCAGAAGCAGAAGGCAGGGAGCGCCTAATACATTTTCTGCTTCTTGGGAAATATTCGGTTGCCATTAGCCTTAACCCAGGGCACTATTTATAATGCAAACGGTGAGTTATGAGCACAAGTGCTGAGAAGCTGTAGAGATGACAGGGCACCCATAAAAGTGAAACTGAAGTTTGTGATTGTTTTTGGAACTCTGAGCTATGCCTGCACTCCTTATTATTTCCGGGTCTCAGAATTTACTGATGGATCACACAAAAGGAGTGCTTGAAAAGCAAATTTAAAAACTTTATGCAGGAAGGCACCCTGCAAAACTAGTATAATTAAAAATGTGGGCCAAAATTTTCAAACCTAGATGATTTATATTAGGCTACTTAATCTCATGTTCTTAGACAATCTGAATAAAAGTAGCCTGCTCTTTTTTGGAAGAGCTAAACACTCACAAATCCCGGAGCCCACATGGATGTAGGAAATTAACTTTCGGAACCCAGACTTGAAAGTGTTGGACCTGGCGTAACCAGAGAAGTTGTTAATTTTACAGGCAGGGTTTGATTTGATAAAATGTCATGTCACCTAAAATGGAGAAGTTAGAGATCAACATTGGAATTAACTAGAGTGAATTGGATTTGTTTTATTTATCTTTAGAGCCCTGTGTGGATACACAATTGGTATCCGCAGCGCAAAAATGATCTACGGGTATCCGCATCCACATCCAAGGATGCGGATACCCTCAGGTATAAAGCAGATGCCCACACATTTGCAGGGTTCTAGGTAGAGATGTGCATGTTTAACCCTTAATGGTTAACTGGTAGGAGCTGGAGCACCATCCATATCGGTAAAAATGAGCTGCAGATATCTGCGGATGCAAAGCAGAGAGCTGTAGATTTGCGGGGCTCTGTTCTCTTTTATGCCCCCAATGCAATGCCTGTGTGCAGGAGTTTGAGAGGAGAGGGGAGACCCGAAGCATCTTCACCTTTAAGGCACTAATTACGGCAGCAAGAGGAGTATAATGACACCCCAACCTCCCTCCAGATGAGTTGTCACAGTAAAGGCACACAAGCCTGTGCTACCTTGCTGGAGAGAACCAGGAAGCAGGGCAGAGGAGCTGCACCCAAGCCCCTGGAATGGTTTATGAGCACTACAGAGTCTACTCTATGAAGCACTTCTCTGCTGTGACATTACCATCCCTGCCTTTTACCACCTGATACAGGGAAGCACATAAGCCCTTGTTTTATTTTAATCACCTCGTTAAGTGCTAGTGAAGTCAATGGGAATTAAGCCTAAGCTTAAAGTTAAGCATAGGTTGAAGGACTCCCCTAAATTGGAGAGCCAAGGAGAGCGGCTCTGTGAAAGGAACTATATAAAATCACTTTCTGCAGCATCTTGCACCTGCGTTTCACAAAACGCTCTCAAACATGGATACAGCTCGCCATGCCCCTGTGTTACATATTACAGATCAGGGGACTAACTGAGGTAGAGAGAGTTTAAGGCCTTGCATAAAGTCGCAAAGCAAGACAGGTTTTTTTTTGGGGTGGGGGGAGGGAAGAGGTTGGCTTTCATGACACCAGTTTCCATATTTTAATTCTAAGAAAACCATCTTTTACTCTCTTGCTGATTTCACTTTCTCCTCCCCCTGCTTCATATCATTTGCTTCCTTTGGAACCTGAAATCAAACTGCCAGTTTTGTTGTGAATCACAGTCTAAACTATTACTGTG